CACGGTTAAAAACACGGAACATGGTTAAAAACACAGATCACGGTTAAGAACACGGATTATGGTTGAAACACGGTTCAAACCAGAGTCTTGGGAACTAAGGGTGCGGAGGGTGCTGCAGCACGTCCTGGTGGGCATCAGGAGGCGCTGCATATCCAAACAGTTACAACTGCTGCATATGTTTAAATCCTTATAGTTTGATATTATTGAGTTTGGTTAGCCATATAATCCAGGACTGTTTAGCATATTTGTGCAAAATTATTTAATCTCTTTGAATTCAGCTCTTTTTTAAGACACTTGTGTTGTTTAGCACTGCTGCCTCTGTCACTTATGATTTATTAAAGCAAACGTAGAGTTTGCAGAAGGGGTAACAAGAAACACTTTAGTTACTGATGCATCAGTAACTAGAGGGGGAAGTTATATCTAAAGCTGTGAAGCTAGATCTGATTAGCATCCTCCACCTGGTGGCTGAAAGACTTCAAAGCCCAACGGCCAAACGTTTTTTCCATTTTATTGATGGGAAACCAACAACCAGCACTACGTTTGCTTTTAAAGACCTGTAGATTATTATTGAGGAACAAATAAAAAGTGTTTTTTCTTAAATGTAAAAAGTACGCTCACATCTTGTTGCTGTCAATATGGCTAAAGCAACAATAAAAATCATCACAGCTCCGCTAATCATTTCACACCAGTTTGAATTTCTCGACTCTGCATCAACAATATTATAAGTGGCTGTATTCAGATTACACAACGTGCACTGCCAATGTGTATTTTATAGAACTGGCATTGTAATTTTTCATACGGGTGTTTAGGGTCATGATAATTCATGCAGCACCTCCAACTTTAACATGTTCCCACGACTTTGGCGCAGAGAGATTTAGAAACGTGGTCCAGATCCTCTAATCAGGGGCTGATCAGCTGAACTGCTCTGGGGCTGGACATCCAGCAGGTATCATGAAGTTTGTTTTATGGTTTAAAATCCAGTTTGATTTAAAAATGAAGCCATTGTTGGGCCGAACTGAGCTCACCCACGGGCCTGATCTGGCCCCCGGGCCACCAGTTGAACAGCCCGGCTCTGAAGGTGAAACTTCAGGGCCGGTCGTTAGTGCTTCTTTGTTCAAGCTGGTCGTCCTTCACGGTTTCAGCTCTTTTCATTTTCAATCAGTAAATCTGTTAAAGTCGTTTTATTCCAAGAAAACGGTGAAACTGATCGGATGTGTGTCGCTTCTTTCCAGGTGTCACTCGTAGAGCAGAGGAGGTGAACTGACAGGTTCTTATTGCTCTCCTGAGTCCTTTAGATAAAAGGTTCCTAATTTAAATAAGGAAGACAAGCATTTCTTTATTTTTGCTGACAAATTACCACTTTAACACACGTCAAGCTGTTTTCTCTCGCTGCTCACATGCGCATGTTTAACTGTGACAGAACACGTCAGGATTTATTTTAACTGATTTGTCTGGAACTTCAGGCGTTGTTCTGAAGTGTGACGAGCACATTCAGCTTCACTTCACCTCGTTTTGCAGTTTAGTTTACGTTTCTTCACGTTGTGGGATTTATTTCTGATCCAACGACTCAGACAATTCAAGAACAACAAACCTGAAGCTTTAAAGACCATCTCAGATCCAGGGCCCGCTGCTTTTACTCATGAAATAAATACAATGGCTCCGTTGCTCAACGGTCCTTCCACAATAATTTAGCTCCAGTAATTACCCGCAGCATGTGCAGCGTATGCAGAATGTCAGGAGAGGACAACATTTTGGCACCGAAAGCTTTTTGTTTCTGTTATTGGCCCATTTTGCAGTTTAAGAACTATTCATCATGTTTTAATGAGCTCTGGCTGCTTGAAGGTCAACAGTCCATGTAGAGTCCAAATGAGTTGCTCCGTAACCCGTGAGTGAAAACATTCAAGCTTTAACTCTCATCACGAAGCAGTTCAACGAGTTTAAGCAGAACGTCTCCGGACATTATTTACCGGTTCGTTGGGATGTTTCACCTTTTGTTCACACTTAACCCAGTTGTGGCAGACAGCTGGAGTCGGCTGCAGCAGCTAAAACCTGTCAGGTAAAGTCAAGCACGTTCCTAAACTAAGAGGTGAAACGAGTCCAAGAGGATTCGCTTTGTCAAAAAGTCACATTTGGTGAATTTAGCTGCAGGTTTACTGTCGCTTCAAGTAGCTGATTTAAAAGAAGGGCAACTGAACAGACGAGAGGAAATGTTTGACCCTGGTTAAAGTTGGGTTTAAATCTGACCCAGTGGTGATTTCAGCCTCGTTTTAAACCTCTCATTTTTAACTCCGCACCCCTGAAAAATAAAAACATCATTCGGAGTTTGTAAGGAAGCTCAGTTCTTAAATCTTAGATTCACCAACATGTTGAATAAATGTGAAATAAACGATGACCGTCTTAAACACGTCAGTAAAATTTATGATTCTTTTTGTATGAGTTGGATCCTCAACGCCACCTGTCAATCAATCCAGCAGGCTTGTCAGCAACTGACCAATCAGCAACCTCAGTTTGTCCCGAAGGTAAACGCCCCTTACCTGCAGGAGCTCCTCCCACTTTTCCTCCAACAACATTGTCAGGGTTTTGCATAGCATCCTTCAAAAGTCCTATTTGTGACGGAGCTCCTCGTTTACGGTCATACCACCATGCACATGCACGATCTCGTCTGAAGCTAAGCGCACCCCTAAAGCTCAGATCCTAGAGGCGCCCCTGGTCCGAACAAATCTACGGGTTCCGATAAATAAAGCTAAAGCCAAATTGTTGTAAAGCACATTACCACATAGGAGAGGACTCGCTGTGCATTTCTTCTAAATTTAACAAGATCAACACTTACAATGATTTGTTTGCGCAAAATTATATTAAAGGTGTGTCTCCGTCTAACTTTTATTTAATTAATGCACTTCAATGGTCAAATCAGCTGCGTTTCATTGGGCGGTGCAGTGAAATGAAGCTGACGGTTTGACGGTTGCTCCAGGCGAGCTGGACGAAGGTGGCAGGCTATGGCAAGCTGGTTGTGTCATTAATAGCCACTTTTACCTATTGCATGACACAACGGCATGCCATACTACTCGACTGCCATCTAGCGTTAGTAGTGTTCAATATTTTCAGTCAGAATGAATGAAAACGATCTTATCTCAGTAAAAACATCCATAAACACGTTGCTTCGGCGTATAAGTCGCAGGGCATGCAAATTATGCAAAGAACCACAACTTATAGGCTGAAAAATACGGTAGTTCCTGGTGACTTCGTCAAAAAGCACAAATTAAATACTTAGTCTTGTCACTTACAGACAGTGATGATGTATCTGAGTTAAATTCACTCGTTTGTCCGTGCTGCTGTGTGTTCATAAATAAATCCCATATTTAGCTTCATAGTGTCTGTGTAGAGAAGCGTTCTAAGGATAACTTCCTGTCCCCTCCCATTTGCCCAAATATAGTCATGGAACAAATCTGCCAGGTGTAGCTCACCTTACTTGAGTTCATAAACTCGTCAAAGCGCGACTTGTATCATTTCTGTAACGAGCTCGATCTTTGTTTGACAAACGGCTTCACGGATATGAAAATGTTTTTGGAGCCGTCACATTCCGAGTTCGTTTAGCTCGAAGCAACGCTCCCTCCCAGTGTCGTTTCTCTGAGGGGAGACGGGGCTTCATCTGTCACACAATTAGAGTCAGGCGCGCGGAGCTTGATGCAGTTAGTGCGGTTACAGATGGACGCAGGTGTGAATACAGACGGTCGGAGCGGAAACACAAAAGGAGGTGCAAGATGAATGAGGAAGGAGTCAACCTTATGTTGCTGTGAATACTTACCCATCGGGGAGCAGAACCATAGTCTGCCTGTTCACGAAGCAAAGAGGAGCGCGGCGCGGCGTATCTAAGAGTGTTTAATTTATTGTTGTCACTTCGTCAGGTTCGTTAGAAGATATCCAGATGTTCAGGTTACAGAAGATATCCAGATG